TGGATGGATGATCCTCTAAAAGTTTCTTTTTTACTCTCTTCCATAAGCCGAATCCGCCAGAACCGATTTCAACATTCTTCCTGGTCTTCCTATTTTTTGCGACATATATATAGAGTTCAACACCCAAGAATCAAAGATATCTAATTCAACATTCTTCCTGATCTTCCTATTTTTTGCAACATATATATAGAGTTCAACACCCAAGAATCAAAGATATCTAATTCAATAATGTTCGATGCGAAATATTCCATTCTTACCTCTAACAAAATATGAACAGACCAAGAGATATGCTCATTTTCAAGTATCACTTGAAAGAAAGAAAGAGCAACAAACTGTAATAAATTTTCAAGGAACAGTCAAAATGGAAGTTCAGTATCAACATGGAAGATCTGAATCAAATGACAGTGTGAGTTTTAATACAATGTAACATGCTGATAAATGAATTACTGCAGACATGAGATATACATCACAAACTCCAAATGAGCGATAAAACAGCTTAGGCATAACTGCTTCTCCGAGAAACAGGAGATCAAAGTTTAGGATAAATGATCAAGGAAACCATCAGAGAACTGAACATATGTATCATCTCTGTGATTTCTAGCTATGGTCATCATCCCAGATGATTCAACTTCGAGCTCTCTCCATTATTCTGGACAAGCTTCAAGAACCAGCATCATTTATGGAAGGAGAACAAACTTTCAGAAGTATCAAATGATGGTTGCTGAAGCCCGTCGATTCCACCAAAGGTGAATGAGTCAAAGTTCATAGAGGAGAAATAGCCAAGATCATTGTCAGTGCCATTTAACCCTGAAAAATTAGTATCCTCGATAACATTTCCAGATATGAGATAATCTATGTCTTCCTCTTTAGCCATGACTTCATCGCTCTGCCCTTGAACTGACATTCCCTGGCTTTTAACTTCATCCATGGAGAGTGCAGGTGTATGACCTTGAAACAAAGCAATGTGCCCAAACAGCTTGTCCTTCCTAGAGAATGTAGTACCACAAGAACAAAGCCACTTGTTACTACCACAGTGCTTCTCATGAGTTTTCAGGTCTGCCATAACCGAAAATTTCTTGCTATTGCATCTACGGCAGGTGTAACTTTTGTCACAATGGCTCCTCTTGTAATGGTTCTTCACACATAAAATTGTCTTGAGAGGCTGGAAGTTCTTGTGTTCTTTGTTCCTCTTGCAACCAATAAAAGGGCACGAATACCTCTTTATAGGTACGGGCTCGGAGCTTCCTTCCTTGGTTGGCTTGGCAAGAGCAGACGGGCTCTTGTACTCATCCCCGTGGCCTCTCATATGCATCCTTAAGTTGGCATCCCTTTTGAATCCCTTTCCACATATTGCACAGAAGTGTGTATGTGGCGCTAATATTTCCTCCTTCTCAAGTTGCAAGACTTCGTATGATCCAAGAGGGAGGTTTTCTCCACTTACACCATCTTCGTTGTCCTTCACATCATTGTCTTCTGTGGAAATTGGCTTCATGCCCTCATCATCCCAGTCACTCAAACCTTTGATCAGCTCTTCATATTCAGAATCTTTGGTTCCCTCTGAAAGAAGATTATTATCATTCTGTCGTAGAATATCAACTAGATCCAAATCAGAGGCAGAATTGGCGATACCACCAATTTGTCCAGAAGAGTTGATGCCAGATGCCAAAGCATTCTTGATCAACGGAAGAAGGGTACCAGCTGTAGAGATTAACTCAATTATGGTGCAAGTTAGATCTGTGTTTATGAGCTGCTGCTGTGCAGCAAATTCATTTGGTTGGATCGACAGCTGCCTTTCGTCGCTAAGAGTGGATCGGACTATGTCCTGAATTTGATGGATCTTCTGCCCAAGGATATCGAGGCTGTTAAGCACAGCCCTTGGATCCCAGTTCATTGCTACTCGCTGGGCCTGGTTTGACTGATGAAACGAATTATCCAAGTGCGAGGAGAACTTGGGCAGGGATTGTTCGGTTTCTCTAGCATCAAACTCGGTGGCTCGTTGGTTCTGATTAAGATTTCTAGATTCGCTACTCATGGAAGAGCAAGCTTCAAAAGTTGGCATCTGCTTAGGGTGCATCCGCCACTTTTAAGGTTCTGCCATGAGAAAAACCATCACGTAAGCTTATACCAAAACATAATAGATTCTCCAAAAATGTTAGTTTCAATTACATACGAGAAATATCCATAAATCAATTTACGGGGGACTACTTGGGGCATGGCAAAGACAGAGAGGAATTCGAATGTATAGTTCTAAAGAAGCCCTTTAGTTGAACTGAAACATAGAAAAGATAGTTCCTTTACTCAGAAAGGAAAGGCGGAGAACACCCATATAGATCAAGAAGCTCTTCTCTCAATCAAAACTAACCTATTCAAATGATCTAAATGATTAAGCTTCAAACCATATGAGCGAACTCCATACACTTCACAGCACCAGAGCATAAAATGGCTGTAGATTTTGCTAAAAAGCTGCAGCCTTTCCACAAGGATCACACGAAAGATCCAGCTTACACGACTCTCCACATCAAAGGGGAAAACGGAGGCTTACAGATTTGGGATCCGACGAATTGGAACAGCCAAATCGAGCAGAGACTCGACGCTACCACCGCTGAAGGTACCGATCGAGTGCCCATCCAAGCGGCGATTCAACGCCTTGGGTCTCTCTAAGATCCGGCTCCCGCTTCCCCCGCCCCGCCTCCTTCCACGAAGACGATCCCACGTTGTGGGTTGACCTCTACGTTGTCTTTTGTTTACTTTCAATACTGACACAGTGAGTTTTGTATTTGAAGCTTAAGGTGTACCTCAAGAGCTCCAGATGTTATTTTGGGTCTCACGCTTCTTTGCCGGAAGACATATGGCTTATCTTTGTCTCACACGGGGGCACTAGTTAATCTAACGTACTAACGTGGATCATGAGCCAACTTACGTTCCCGGACGGATCCACTGACGATCGGACCGTCGAGATTCGAAGAGAGCCACGCGTCTTTGAATGGGAACGGTCCGTTTCAACTGGATCATCAAGTTACTTGAGAATCTATTATTGGACTAAATGTTGGGCCACACAAGCCGTGGCCCAATGTCATTTCCACTCCCTAAACTGGGCCATACAGGCCCATTATGGTATTCTTGACATGAGTCCTATTAGCTTCTAACAGTGAACTTTTTAGGAAAATAAAATATTATATATTATATATATATATATATAATGTCAATTTTTTAATAAAATATGTATATTTTGGGTATTTTCCAAAAGGGACATCATCTTTTGCTTATTCACAAATAAAACTTTTAATTTATAAAATACCTAAAATATCTCTCAAAAGTTTTGTTGTCAATTTTTTTCACTAATTTTTACTTTTTTACAGTACTTTTATTTTACTTGTTTAGAATATTTTTAATCATATTTATAGTGTTATATTGATGTACTAAAAATACTATATATGTTATTGAAAAACACTATAAGTGACATCATATCATGTTTCTTATGGTTTCATTACTTATATACCATTACAATAATATATTTTTAGGCCTGTAGGTAGTTTAATTGAAGTTACAAATCTAGTTAGATCATTTATAGTATTTTCAAGTAGGTTCTATAGTGTTTTTGTTGTGACGATCAAAACATTATAACATACCAAAACCATTATAAGAAATCAAAAATATTATAACAGACGAGAAAAAATTAAGGGACAATTTAAGTTTTTTTTTAAATTAGAACTACTATTTGAGAATAAAAATAAAATTGAGGGTGCTGATTGAAAAATATCCAAAAATATGAGTATCTTCTAAATATATACATATATATACACATATATATATATATATACACATATATATATATATATATATTATATATGCACGCGTATATAATATATAATATATGATGTTTGGACTTGGATGACTTCTTCCAACCTCGAAAACAAATCACAATGTTCCAATGGGTTCAATCAATCTCCAACTCGAACAAATTCAGCACCACTTTGGACTCTTCACCAGCTGATGTGTCCATGAGCTGTAGATCATTTGTATCACCTGTGTCCTTTCCTTCTCAAGCACTTTGTCCCTACTTGTTCTGAGAATAGTTTCACTTCTTTTCATGTGTATCAACTCACTAACTCATCCTCTAGCATGTCCTTCTCAACTGTGGATGGGACTGTACATGCTTCAGGTTTTGACCGCTTCTGCTGTCTTCTTCACTCCAAGCTGTTCCTTTGTTCATTTTTTTACTTTTGGCTTTTCCTTGTTACTGTCTTGTTGTGAGGCAGATGTTTTCTACATGATGAATTATTCTAAGCTTGCAATGCTCCTTTGATGTTGTTTCATGGCAGAGAGAGAGAGAATATGTTTACTCCACCCTTCATCTGTCACAGAGGCTGTTTGGAATTTGTTCAAGTAAAAATATACTAAGAAAACTAAGAAAACAAATCAAAACAATTTGCATCATAAAAGTAATTGATCTTTCCTAATCAAAGTTTGTGCTATCAATTGCTTTGGAAGTAAATGAAAATTTTACAATCTGTAAGAATGCATAATATATCTTTTTATTCCAATAATTAAATAGGATTTTCAGACTAGTACTTAGTTTTAAGAATAAAGGAGGCAAAGAAAATACTTCTTATTTTGTTGTTCAATAAAATAATAGTATTTCTGATACATTTCACCTAAAATGAATGCACTGATTAATGGATGATGTCAATTAATAGTACAGTCAATGATCTTTTAAGGGCTAAATTTAGTGCACAACTCATGTCAAAGCCTCTAACAGATGGTCTTGAGAAGAGCAGACAACTGATACGGATGATTTTGCTGATTGATTTATTGTCGCCTGAAATCAAGGTTTAATTCTTCCTTTCAGTTTGACTGAATCTTTCAGAGATCTCTCATACGATGGCCACATGGAATGATCTATGTTAAGTCTGTCAGAAAACATTGACCTCCTTCCCCCAGAAGATTTTTGTTACAGAAATCCAGTGGGTATTTGAAAAGTATTGCAAGAAGATCAGCCCTGTGAGCACAAATTGACTTCAGTTCTTCCCATCAAACTTTTTCTCAGTTTTCCCGTGGGCTACTCTGCAAACACAGAGAGAGAGAGAGAGAGAGGTGCAAAAAGAGAAACATTCTTGTATTGTTTACGTTTTCCTATCTATAGGAGCAGAGGTGACCTGGTCTCCTTTTTGTGTTCTCAACCCTTGGTCTTTCACCTGCAAGTCCATCGCTCTCTCTGCTTCTCCCTTATTCTTCACCACAACACTGCAAAAAATCTCGTGAACTACGAAATGTGGAACTCTAAATCGCAACTTCTCCCTCCTCCGGCAAGAAGCCTCTACCCTCATCCCTGAAAGCTGGCTCATCGTCCAAGAAATCCAATCCAGAAACCAGAAAGAAGCAATCTTTGTCAGGCGAAGCACCTAAAAATCCAGTCTTTCTTGCGACCGGCGAGAAGTCTCCGCCCTCAGCCCTGAAAGCTAGCTCATCGTCCAAGAAACCCATTACAGAAACCAGAAAGAAGCAATCTTTGTCAGGCGAAGCACCTAAAAATCCAGTTTTTCTTGCGACCGGCACGAAGCCTCGGCCCTCATCCCTGAAAGCTAGCTCATCGACCAAGAAATCCATTTCAGAAACCAGAAAGAAGCAATCTTTGTCAGGATAAGCACCTGAAAATCCAGTTTTTCTTGCGAAAGCGCAAGATCGCATATTTCGTTCACTATCCATGGATCAATCCTCATCCCTCCCTCCCCACCACTCCTCGAAGCCCTCCTCGGTCCTCCCTTACAAGACGCCCAATGTTCGCGACCATTACCGTGTGGGGAAGAAGCTCGGGCAGGGGCAGTTCGGCACGACGTATCTCTGCGTCGATAAGGCCAGTGGCAAGGAGTACGCCTGCAAGTCCATCCCCAAGCGCAAGCTCCTCTGCCGCGAGGACTACGAGGACGTCTGGCGTGAGATCCAGATCATGCACCATCTCTCGGAGCACCCCAATGTCGTCAGGATAAAGGATACCTACGAGGACCCTCTGTTCGTGCACCTGGTGATGGAGCTCTGTGCCGGCGGGGAGCTCTTCGATAGGATCATCCAGAAGGGGCACTACAGCGAAAGGAAGGCGGCGCAGCTGATCAAGACTATTGTGGGAGTGGTGGAGGGGTGCCACTCGCTAGGGGTGATGCATCGAGATCTGAAGCCGGAAAATTTCTTGTTTGCAAGCCAGGATGAGGATGCTGCTCTCAGAGCGACGGATTTCGGGCTGTCCGTGTTCTACAAACCAGGTTGGTCAGCTTGTTCTTCTCTTCCTACTTAGAATCTCCTCACTGAAATAACTTTATCTTTGATTACTCATCGGTATCTTATTTTTATGGCATTTTAATGTACATGTTGTTCTGGTATATTCGTAACATTAATGTGATACTATTTGGTCATAGTATTGGCTCTTTGTTGGAATCGCATTGAGTACATTGCATTTACCTATTTTTTCTGGATACGAGTATTAGAATCGTATGCCCTTCGCACTCGCCGATAATTGGAAGATCTCTGACAGAGTATTGTAACAGAAGCTTTTGGAAGATTAGCTGTTGGATGTTTAGATTATAATTCGTTCATTTTAAGTTTGGACTGCACGTTTCTTTATGCCATCACAGATTCATGAGCTATTTATCATCATTGCTGGAATTTGCCCGCTGAGCTCCGAAAAGATTCTTATATCTGAAAGCAATGATTTTTACTAGTCCCATCACTTGAATCCACAAACCATGTTTAGTACAGTTTTTGATTTAAAACAAAGGTTTAATGTTATCGTTGCAAGATATTGCTCGTCGTTGAAGATCGACACTGCTACTCCAAAATTGATCTGTGACTTTCTGGAAGCCCTTCTGGATATTCTTCATCATGTTAAAGTAATTGCATGACTGACTTCAGGTGCATATATGTCCTGTTATCCAATGAAATTGATTGAAAGCTCTTCCTGTGATAGGTGAACATTATGTTTCACTTATTCAATAGCTCATTTTTTCAGAACGTTTGCAGGTGACACATTTTCTGATGTTGTCGGGAGCCCATATTATGTTGCACCTGAGGTATTGCGGAAATACTATGGTCCAGAAGCAGACGTGTGGAGCGCAGGTGTCATTTTATATATTTTGTTGAGTGGGGTGCCACCTTTTTGGGCAGGTATAATGTTTCTGAATCTCGACCTTAGGATCATCGAGTCTGCTGTATTTAATAGTACATGGGGTACTTAGTTGGTCTTTTGTTCCTCGTTGGCTTTCAGAGACTGAAGCAGGGATCTTCAGAGAGATTCTACAAGGCCATTTAGACTTTGAATCAGAACCATGGCCTTGCATTTCTGATAGTGCTAAAGACTTGATACGGAATATGCTCAACAGGAATCCAAAGAAAAGATTTACTGCTCATCAAGTACTTTGTGAGTATTCTGATTAGCGAATGTGATTTTTAAGAATTTATTTTGATTGGCAAAAGGAATTTCCCAGAAGGTTGGACAATTTTCAACTCTCTATAACATGAATTGTCTGTGCCAGGCCACCCATGGATTGTTGATGACAGAGTTGCACCAGATAAACCACTGGATTCTGCTGTCTTATCTCGCCTGAAGCAGTTCTCAGCAATGAACAAACTCAAGAAGATGGCCTTGAAGGCAAATCCTTTTTCCCCAGAACAACTTGTCAATGACTTTTTATATGAATATGTCATTGAATGTCTAAGTACATCTGGTTATTAACTCCATTATGCTAGTTGACATAGCATAAATGCATTTAGTTACATAGATCGATAAAGGTTTTCTAGATTTTCATGTCAAAATGCTAAATAATCAAATTCCTTATACCAACAGAAGCTGCTTCTGAACTTACTAAAAGCTATCTGTTTGACTGCATATGTACTAACTATACGAGGCATCCTTTCCGTTCCAAGAAGCACTAATTGAGGTTAAAATAAAATATTTATTGCTTGGAGACTAGGAATTTTTTACCAAAAAATGCCTCAGAAAAGCCAACATGGCTGCTGTTTTAGGAATGATGATTTTATACTGTACGCAATCCATTAATTGAATTGATGGTTCAGGAAAAAGTATAAATAAAAAAAGTTGATGGTTCAGAGGTGTTTTCTTCAGAGTAGATTGTCTCTTCTGGCAATGGCAATGTTCCATAACTCTTCCATAACTCTAAGAAATTGGGAACCCTGATGTTCCATATTCAGGTAGTATAAGTGATAGCTTTTCAAAAGTCGCTGCACTGATATTGCATTTGACCACTATGGAGGAAAGATAATTTTCTGCAGAAGCATAAGCGTAAATCTCCATTTTGTCTGGTCCTTCCTATGCGGTCTCATGTAAATATGGAGAAAAAAGGTTTGCATCATATTGATGAATTATTATTGTGGATGCATCCAAAGCCAAAACGGTTTTGTTTTGTCAAAAGCATCAGAAAATTGAACTGACCGACCGTTGGTTACCCTGGTCATTTGCTTCAACACGTACATGTTTGAACCATGCCATAAACTGCTAGGAACCATTTTTTTTATTTCTTTATTCTATCACATTCTGGTTTCCTAGTGGTTGAACATTTAGGCTTTTCTCTCTTCCTTTCCATTCTTTTGTCTCTTTTCTTTTTTTGGTGCTGGAGAGCTTTTGATGTGAAGGGGGTTTCTGGGAGATGGTTTGGGGTTTCCAAGGGTGCATCTTGCAACAAGATTTACCAAGTACAAATTGATGGGATGTACACTGTACTCTACCTCATTAGTTCGGGAGCGTGATTATGATCTGAGGAATAACCTTCGTTGCTTGAACATGTTTGATCATTAACAGAATATGCATCACTAAGATACCTGATATGATTGTATCAAACTCTTTTGTTGAATTCCATTTACATGTATTTCATAAGTAGATTTGATCAATTCTATGTTTTCTTGTTCAGCATGCTAACTTCCTAGATGATTATACAACTATATAAAACTTGAAAATTTGACTAGTTTAATGTATTTTATGATCTAATTTAACTATATAACATTTAATAACTTAATTGCTGTCTCTGGTTCAATTTTCTTGTGCATATAGTACAGGTGAATATTTTCTTTGTTGGTGGTGGGTGAATTGCCATTTGCATGTATAAATGTAGATTTGCTTTGACAAACTTTGCTGGTTTGGATCAATTATCGGACTGAAGAACATCACAAAAGTCTGATTTATCAAAAATGTCTTGAGTTCATATCTCAAAACTAGCAGATTCTAGCAATGTTAGTAAAAAAGCTTTCGATCGTGCAGAATGTCTATTTTGAATCATGAGTTTTCAAGTTAATATTGTGCATTTCCTTGTTCGAAAGGTCATTGCTGAAAGCCTATCGGAAGAAGAGATTGGTGGCTTGAAGGAACTGTTCAAAATGATTGATACAGACAATAGTGGGACAATAACATTTGACGAACTCAAAGATGGTATGAGAAGAGTGGGTTCTGAACTGATGGAATCTGAAATCCAAGCACTTATGAATGCGGTACACAAAACAAACACGGAAACTTGTGGCTTTTGCTCTCTCTTGCATTACTAATTGCTTTCAGCAACTCTTCTCCCTGCTTCTTGTTGGTTTTTCTCGCAAATACCTCTCTGTTGGTGAAACTTCACATTGTGTTGCTTGAACTGGTGGCAGGCAGACATAGACAACAGTGGCACCATAGATTACGGTGAATTCCTCGCGGCGACATTGCACATGAACAAGCTGGAGAGGGAAGAGAACTTAGTGTCGGCATTCTCTTTTTTCGATAAAGATGGAAGTGGCTACATCACTGTCGATGAACTCTCACAAGCTTGCAGAGAATTTGGTCTCGACGATGTTCATCTTGATGATATGATTAAAGAGATCGATCAAGACAACGTGCGTACCATATCTGTTATTTTCTCCGGCCACTGGTTTTTGCTTGTTCCTATCAAATTGTTTTCTACTGTGTGCTTGCAGGATGGACAAATAGATTACAACGAATTTGCCGCTATGATGAGAAAGGGCAATGGAGAAATTGGAAGGAGGACCATGCGAAACAGTCTGAGAATCAACCTGGGTGATGCCCTCAAGATCACTGAACGCTAGCACGGTGCCTACCGAAAATGTAAAAGCTGGGAGTTCCATTTTGGAAGATGATTCCATTATCACATGAATGATATTGTTCATGCAATCCGGACATGTTTAAGGTTATTGTGCCGGTAATGTCCCGACTTTGATAATTAGTTTTGCAGTACTGTTCTCTATATGAACCTCTATATGCTCTTTGTCTTGCATAAGAGTTCATACTTTCAGAATAAATTTGCAGAAAGCAGCTCGATTACAAGACACCGATCATGTAAAGATCTTAACTATCGATAGGAAAATCCCGAATTCATCACTCATCAAGTAACGATGGTTAAACTATAAACATGGATTTATCTAGAGTTGCTTAACCTGAAATGTATGGAAATCAGATTATTCTTGAATGGCTATTTACTCCTTGAACTGCATACTTTACATTATTGATTGTATAAAAAACTATATTGATTGATCTCTCAATGTTAATCAAGTATTTTCTGCAAAGAACTTTCAAGACTATTATATGTTTGCCTTCCTTCTTCCCCACTTACCGATCGTGCAATTTCAACGCCTCCCACGATCACCAACCGAGAGAACATAAACCAGATGTCTTGTAATCCAGCAATACATGCTCGGATCTGTTCGAGCCCTCTGCGGCATTACAACAGATCGTCTTGTAATCCAGCAATAAACACTTGGATCTGTTTGAGCCCTCTGCAGCATTACAACATGAAGCCAACGAAAACAAGTGTTGGGTGCAAATTTCGTTGGTTCGGAACTGTTGAAATTGTTTGAGTCAATGAATCCAAACTGCTTAGTTAATATACATGCGATCTGACATCGATTTGATCTAAAAACTTCTGATATTTTTTAGTTCTTATTAATATCAGATTACAACATCCGAATTTGGGATTATTGAAACATCGAAGAGATTACGTTGAAAAACTCATCCGAATTTATTTGGTCCTCACACAGATCATTAGCTTAAACAATACAAAATAAGATGCCACTCAAGTTTATACAAAACATTTATCACAAACTAAGGGAAAACAGATCGATAAAGCTTCATCGCGTCGCAGAATTCAGGCTAGAATATCTCCAGTTGGCTATCGGGAAAGATTCGAAGGACGCCAGGTTGCTCTGCATCATCAGATCAGCAACTTATCATGACCATAAGAACAGTGCAGCACGATCGTGGTCTCAAGGAGAGAGTACGTACTCATTAGTGCGGAGGCTTCTCGTGGACTGAGGCGTGCTTCGAAGCCGGAGAAGGCATAGTCGTAGACACGTATCAAAGCTTTCGTAGCAGCCTCCTCGCTGAAGCATCACCAAAGAGAGACCAGAATCAAAGTTGGGAGTCCATGTCATGGGGAAGAAGAGAGCAGCTCACGTCACCTGCCGAGAATGGAGGCGAGGATTCTGATGGTGAAGTGCTGTGGCTTCTCGCCCTTGGGCAAGTCTACGACGGCGATGTAGCTACCTGCCGAGGACGCAGGCGCAGGTGCGGCTGCTGTGTCTACAACAGGAGCGCTGGAGTCGGAGTCGTAGTCGTCGTCGCAGTACGAGGAAACAGAGGAAGCAAAGCATGTGCAGAGGACGAGGAAGACGAGGACGTGCCTCTCCATTTCTAGCTAACGATGTGCTTCTTCCCTCGCCACCCGCCGGCTCGAGATTTTATAGCGTGTGTTTGTGCACCGTAATTGGAGGTCAGTGAATGCTTGCAGTTAATTTCCTGGAGTTTGTGAAGACAAGAAGGCTGGAAGATGTAACCCACAAGCGTTTCCTCACTGCAACTCGAAACTTAACACGGCTTTTAGAGGATCGATCAGTTTCATTCCAAGGGAAATATACACTGTTGCAGATGCACTACAAGCAGTTCATTACATGAGATTTGTGTGTCAGTCCGACATCGATGAGATTTTTTCAACTATACGAGGAAATCTCTCTATTTTATCGGGAAATTTTTTTTCTCATTTGTATAAATAGGAGAGAAAACATGTTAATGTATTGAAGCATTTTCATTTCTTCAATAAAGTTTCTTCGATAATTATTCTTATCTTCTATTATTTCCTTCGAAAACAATTAATAGATCAATAGAACTAATTAAATACTTCAAACGTTTTGGGTCACGCCAGTAGGAACATGAGGACGCTGCGATTCCAATTGGGAGTTGGGTGGTCCATGCGTCGTTAGCTCCAACGCCTCCCCGTCGCCCCACAACGCGTAGGCTTCCTCGCCATGCACTTCGTCGTCGCCGATCTTGAGCTGGTCCTCGGACATGCGGAGCGGGACGACGAAACGGATGGCCGCGCAGATGGCGGTGGTGACGACAGCGTTCCACGCGACGACGAACCCGGCGCCGACGACCTGCTTCAGGAGCTGGACGCCGCCGACGCCGCCGTAGACGCCGCCGCGAGAGTGGGTGACGGGGAGGAAGAGGGCGCACAGGACGGGCTCGGCGAAGAGGCCGGTGGCGGCGCCGCCGAGGAAGCCGGCGACGGCATGGGTGTGGAAGACTCCGAGCGTGTCGTCGATGTTCTGAAGGAAGGACCATCTGCGGTGCACCACCATCATGGTGAACCAGGGGATGCTCCCGGACAAGATCCCCATCACCATGGCAGCCCAGCCTTGGACCAGTCCTGATGAGCAACACCGTAATGGATCACACCATTCCTCCGAAAGAAATCCTCACAAAACAAGACCACAATAAAATATGTCGCTTGCTGCAGAAAGGCGTTGACCTTTCTGCTAGTTTGTACGTCTTTGTCAACCCCAATACAGAACACGGTAAGCACTAAATTTCCTGTTATTTTACAGCTAAATAGGAGGCTAATTAAGCATCACCTAATATTCCTTATGGTCGAAGCTTACATGCTATAGCTTTAATTGAACAGGCCAAGAACGTAAGCATAAAAAAAGTAATAAAGAAATCAATGTGGTCTGCTATAGATTCAGTTCACTGCAGAAATGGTCGATGGTCAAATGTTGGCAGAAGTCAACAACAGATAGATTTCAGTAAGGGAGAAGACGGAATCAAGATTCTGGGTCGTCGTCTACGAATTCTAAGGTTAGGCGTGTTACCTGCACCGGGTGTGATGCATACGAGGCCGGTCATCATCCCTTGCACGGCGCCGATGACTGACGGCTTCTTGAAGAAGACCACATCGAGCGTCGTCCACATGAGGAGGCTCGTCGCGGCGCATACGTGCGTGTTGAGCACCGCCATGGACGCATCGATGTTGGCGGCGTAGGGCGCCCCGCCATTGAACCCCGCCCACCCCATCCACAGCAGCCCCGCCCCGGCTAGCACTAGCAGCACGTTGTTCGGTGGGAACCTCTCTCTGTCGCTCGCTGTCCTCGGCCCGACCTACACATACATGCGCCAAGTGTAAGTGATCGGCGTGTGTGGAGACGCAGAGGTTAGTGTGAGATGGATGGAGGACCCAGTAGGCGGCGGTGAGGCCGGCGATGCCGGAGGAGAGGTGGATGACGTAGCCGCCGGAGTAGTCGATGACGCCCCACTGGAAGAGGAAGCCACCGCCCCAGAGGGAGAAGGCGCCGACGGTGTAGGAGAAGGTGAGCCACAGTGGGACGAAGGCCATCCAGGCTTTGATGTTCATCCGGCCGAGGAGGGAGCCGGCGAGGAGGACGACGGTGATGGCGGCGAAGGAGCACTGGAAGTAGACCACGGAGGCCATGGGTAAGTAGGGGGTGGACATGGCGGTCTCCACGGTGCCGTTATGGTAGAGGTGGGTGGTGGCGGGAAGGGCCGCCCGCTCGATGAGGAACCTCTGGCCGAGGGCCGGCTTGGCCTTCCCCCAGAAGGGGACGAGCTTGTCGCCGAAGGACATGTTGTAGGCCCAGGTGACCCAGCAGATCCAGACGGCGGCGAAGGCGTACAGCGCCATGAAGGCCGAGTTGACCGCCCACTTCTTCTTCACGATGCTGCCGTAGAGGATCACCAGTCCCGGAACGCTCTGCAGGCCGACCAGCGTGGCCGACACCATCTGCCACGCGTTGTCCCCTTTGTTCAGCCACTCCGGCACCGCCGCCGACGTGTTGCCCTGGTACGCCGTCGGCACCGCCATGGCCACAAAGCTTGCTCTTCTTCCCCGGCCAAAGGAACTACTTAGTCGGGTTCGTGGCTAACAGATACAATTGCGTGCTGCCATACCAGCGAAGAGATGAGAAAAAAAGGACAGATTAAGTCGCTAAATTAGTACAGAGTTAGAAACCAATGCATTTGCAGTAACCAAAAAAAAAAAAGATAGCATGCATGGCACTCTAAATATCAACATCCGTCACTATTGTCCTCCTTACTGACCTCCATAAAAAAATCCAGGTTGATAGATTTTAATATTAGTTAATTTGACTAAAAGTAATATCTAAAATATTTGTATTTTCTCACTATCATAACTCAATTAATTGCCAGAGATTAACTACAATACATATATATATATATATATATATATATATATATATATATATATATATATATATATATATATATATATATAATTACAATATGATGTACTTAAGCAGTTGTTAGTTGTCAAAAGTACACTAATGACAAGGAAAGCTAACGCTAAACTATGTTATCGAAGCCTGATTTGTCTTGTAAAATTGTTTCCGGGATAGAGAAAGCCAGAAGAATGAATTAGTCAGAGTTGAGGGGATAATGATGTGTCGATTGATCCATTAATATTTTTAGCTTGTAAGGTCTTACCAAGCACCATGGAAATTTCTCCTTGTTGACAAAGGGCTAATATTCTATGTGATGCATGTTATTATCATAACAAGGAAGATAATGAAAGAAAGCTGTCAAGCATTATATCAATGGGGACAAAAATAAAAAGAGCTAAAAAAAAAGATAAAGATGATAAGTATTAGTCAAGAAATATTCTATGTGGCATTAAATGATCAAGGATAACTCTAAAATTCGAACTGTTAGGAGATCATTTCTAAGTTTGTGTCAAGTTCGATATTTCTACTTTATCCAATTGATAAAAACTGACCTGGTTGAAGAAGAGACTGATGGATCAGTTGCTCATATGGATTGGAAGTATCAGAATGTTAGATTTGGAAAGAGCAAAATTTTATGCTCTTAAATCTCTTCTTAAATAAAGAACAAAATTTTCAGATTTGATGAGTTGGAGAGTTGTGATGCTCTTGATCTTTTCCCAGCACTGACTAATTTTCAGGGTAACAACACTATGCTCAAAATCAAATTTAAATTGAAAATTTCAAGAATTACCCAAAGGATTGGAAACAAAGATCCGAGAGAGAATATGCTTGCAATCCTGGAAAATATGAACAATTGCAGAACCTTGTGTTGAACAGATCTTATTCTCTGTAATCAAAGTGGGGCTCTATAATGCCAAAAGGTACCCACTTATTTCCTGCTTATCAAACTAAAGGTGACCCAAAAAAGAAAAAAGAGAAATGCATAATTCTTGGTATCATCTGGATCTTCAAAGGGGTATGCTCCCACCTACATGCCACACAATGTAACTCCACGTGACCACGCATCAGTAGTCTATACCAAGAAATATGCCCTCTTAGAACAAGTCAAGAAAGTAGTAGCATAATTTTTCTTAAAGACAAAAACATAATTGAACAATCTCATGCGAGAATCATGAGAAGTTTGCTAGTCATATATGCTCTGCAAGTCAATCACGTGAGTGATGACACGCGTGACTTAACACAAAACATAATTGAACAATCTCATACGAGAATCATGATAAGTTTGCTAGTCATATATGCTCTGCAAGTCAAGTCAATCACGTGAGTGATGACACGCGTGACTTAACACGTAGTCTTTTTGCTTATTATATTTTGATATTTATTATTTTAGATTGATTATATATATATATATATATATATATATATATATATATATATATATATATATATATATATATATTGTGATGTCCTTGAATCTGTGCAATGAGAATCGGATCATGATGAGATCATAATAATGAGATCGATTCATTTTTAAACATAGATCCTAAATAATCTTGATCATAGGTTACTCGAGAAGGACATCGAGATAACCGAATAGACTGGTGTGTTGTATACTCATCTATATGATGGATGTAGTTGGTCTCATAACTGCTCGTGTGGAGACACTAGGGATATGATACAGGTGCTCATTGGGGAATGAGTTCACTGATTGATCCGCTTACGAAATGCTGAATGATTGATGATGGTGTCCCTAATGAGTGATAATCCACTCTCGGTGTCATGAGAGGAATATCTCATGTGTTCTTGCTCAGACAAATCTCGGATTAGAGCAAGAGTTCTCCGGGGCAACTCTTACGAGGTGCTAGGGTCATTCGGATTAAGAGAGAAAGAGTTCATCTGATTAGAGCAAGACTCGAATAGAAATCGTATGAGTCTGACAACACCATGCATGATATACAATCTCCAGGATATTAGATGGATGAGGGACTATAGGTACATGGTAATTGAGGACAGACATGTCTAATGGATTGGATTCCCCTGTATCGTCTGGGGACTATAGCGTAGTGGCCTAGTACGTCTGTAGTCGATGAGTCTAGTGAATTATTATGGAGATAATAATTTAATGAGCCAGAAAGAGTTCTGACAGGTATGACTCACAGCCAACTCGATATTGAGCCTAGAGGATCACACACATATGGTAAGCATTGCGATGAGTAGACGTTCGAATATAAGAACGAGGATCACACACTTATTGGATATCCAATGAGCCCCTGAATTATTGAATTCTATGAACGAGATCCAATAAGAGCCAATGAAAGATTATTGGATTGAGATTCACTAATCTAAGAGGTCCTATCTTATTTGATATCCAATAAGCCCTTGAATTATTAAATCTCATGAACGAGATCCAATAAGAGCCAATGAAAGATTATTAGATAGAAATCCACTAATCTATGAGGCTTGGATAGTTGGATGGAGATCCAATACCTAATATAAAAAAATTCATTAGAATTAAGTTGATAGAAGACCTCTATAAATATGGGGAATTCAGTGATTCATAAGCTATAGCTTTTGCTTGCCTCTCCTTGCTGTGTGGAACACCGCTAGAAAGAAGAACACTTGACATCCTTCACCCTCTCCTAAAAATCCTTCACCAATCTTTGAGAATAAGAGATTTTGTTTTCTGTTTTTCGCGCATGTCACCCCCAAAGATTTCCCAACAAAATTATGATAAAAACATTTGATATTAATTAGAGTTAGCAGATACCACTTTAATTTAATATTAATCAATCACTTCCGGAAACTGAATTAAAAAAATATGCTATAGTAAATAAAAAGTGTCTATTTTGTTCATTCAACAAATGGTATGATCATAAAAGAACCTCATTTAACATGTCAGGCAATACATGTTAGGCAATACATTTCAGCCCTTGAATGCAACTAAAATTTCAATGACCATTTTCCAATAACAGAACCTCATTTACTGCACCATCTACCTGAGGAGATGCATCATTTGACACCCGGGGAACAGTGGCTATGTTTTTGATGATTGAAGAGTAGAAATCGAAGTCCGCTTTCAGTTTGCAGCAGCTGGCTTCAATCCATTTTTCAGCAACACTGGTTGAAACACTATCTTGGTTGTCCCTCTCATGTTCCTCGATAGCAGGCCTTATCTCATCGTAAAGAGAATCAAGTTGAGCGGTAGCCTGCTTCTTTGATTCCTAAGATGATTCAGAAGCTTCAGAACAATATAGGTATTGACCAACAACACTCGTTATAGTTATAAAAAAAAAACATTTTTTAATCAAAATTATTAAGTTTCAAACTTATGTTAAAGTAGTCAATTTGGAGTCATACAAAACTCAGATAACCAAGGTTCATTCAATGGAGGATCTCAAATATGGAAAAATATACTCTCAAGATCCAAAGCCAATTATCATGAAAATAAACAGAGTAAATCAATCATACACTACAAAGAAGTACCAGCACTAATAGTGAAATAGTAAAAGAAAAGTTTGCAGTAATAGGATAGAGCATTTCAATCTGATTTGTAGTCAAACCAAAAGCACTTTTTATTAAAAGCATATGACCAAGTTATCTTTGAATAACTTGATTTGGATATCACACTTGGGTTAATCCAGGAGAATTGGACAAGCAGAACTGACAACTGAAACTTCAGCATCTAAATCATACCAAATCAAAAATCTACAATCTACCCCTCTTAGATGTTTAAATAACAACATATCCACAGAAAAGCATCTAAAGAATTGCTCTTACCTCATAGGCAATAATTTCTTCACGTGCTTCAGCCACCGCTAAACGTTCACAGATAAGTTTCACATTGACTTGCTTTCGTACTCCAAATTTTGCTTTCCCACCAGGATAGCGTGAAGAGGTTTTTGATAAGGAATTAGAGTCTATGTGATAATTTCGGCATGCACTGTTACTCCGAATACGAGAAATCATTGCACTTTTACGAGCAAAATTTTCTTGAGCATTCTCTGCATACATACACTCATCTTCTGTTGTTTCATACTTCACTCCATTGACTTCCATAGGAACAAAATTCAGTGGTTCCACCACCATTGGAATTGATTCAGAAAGCACTACAGAACCAAAGCCATCTGCATTTCCCAGAAAATCTTCATTTTCTTTATATGGGACAATGGCTTTAAGTGACTTTGATGTTGGTTCATCATCCTCAGAATCATAGAGGGGTACATTCTCAACCGAGTATCTGCCATCATAAAAAGTCGATAATCACATGAAAGCAACCACACAAGCTTCTACCAGATTTGCTTTAATGAAATTGTAATCACATATAACCATGAACATTTGAACAAGAGACACAGGAGATTGCAATGACAACAACAAAAAGCACCAATCCCTAAAGTCCCAACTATTTTGGGGTTACAGGATGCGGGAAACCAAAATCTTAATTTTATTAATGTATCATTTAGGTGAAGTAATCTACATTTGTTGCTAACTAAAGTGACTGATTCAAATGTTTTAATTAATTGAGATGAATCAAATCAAGATGCATATCCCTAGGGAACAAAGTGGTTCCCTTTTTTGCTGTAACATGATAGCCATGCATTGTTAGTCAATGTAGATTAAGCTTACACCAGTATAATCCAGAAAAAAAAGTCGTACATGTTTAATCATACAATAAGTACAAGTTGCTTGGTCTCAGCCTAACCTTGATCGGAACAGGATTCTAGCTATATATTCATACTCCACTTCTATCCACATAAACTAGCCAAGCTTCCACAGGAATTACCAAGTGATCAATGCTTAAGATTGGCTTTTTATTACCTTATCACCTAATGCAACTCGGCTTACTGTTAACAAGCCACAGCTGAAACTGCTTTCAGACCAGCTCAAGCTACCACGGATTGCTTTGTTTATTTACAGTTATATGCACAGTAAATAGAAATTTTCAAATTCGAGCAACAGAGTCAGGGTAGCAGACTTACCGGTCATCATTATCTTCCCAAAGATAGGTGGCCTCCTGCAGAACATTAGTATCATGATAAGGGGAAAGAAAAATTAAAATAATTACTATTTCTATGCAACTGAACAGAAACAAAGTCTAAGATTATAAAACCACTGCAGTTGCTGGCTCAACAATAACAAACACCAAATCAAAAGATTGATAAAAGAAATATTTTGGAAAGACCAAAAGTGTCTATTAAAATGAACACACAAAACTTGGTACTGCCCTTATTGTGTGTATACCTATGAATAAACACTTTAAGAAGAATACCACAGAGGCAACTTTGCAAGGGCTACATGTACAAATATATGATTTTTTAATGGTATATTTCAACAGTGAAAAATTATTAACCTCTAAGAGCAACCAAATTCAATTTAATGAATATTAATTCTACTTCACCTGGAAGCCACGAGATTTAGCTCCAAGAAATCCAGAGCAACAGGCTGCACCACAAAGACAGCGCACCTTAGCACCACCATACCATTCAAAGTTGTAGTCATAAGCCAGTTCAGTTCCGGCAGGAATTTCTTGCTTTGCAAAAATCCCAACTCTTACTTCTCCCAACACATTCCACTTCCTTGTTTCACAGTTTGGCTGACTGCAGTTTGCAAACATTAGATGTCAAGCAAACATTATAGGCTAGCAACATATTGTCTGTCCAGCAAAAGAACATACAAATGAAGGGAAAAGAGAAGTAAATTTAGTAAAATAAACACAAAAGATTAATAAACGGGAGGCCTTCATAAGACTTTCCAATGTGGGTATAGGGAGGGTCAATATACTCAACCTTACCCATACAAGACACATTATTTTAGTTATTCAAATGTTTCACCAAGGTCTTAAAGAAACAACTTTACAGTGGTGCATGCGAATGGTCACCCTCAGTCACAGAAGACATGATTGATGAATCTAGCCAAGCTGCCTTTCTCATGCCAATGGCCATCATTGCAACTGAAGAAATTCAATGTGCAGAAAAGAATTCATGTTTTAAAAATTCAAAGATACTAACCAAGAATGGTTGATGAATCTAGCCAAGCTTCCTTTATGAGTGGCATCAATCGATTCATATGCATTGAGATAAATAATATATGCATCTTTCAATCCTGGAAAAAAACACATTGATGCATAACTAGAACTGGGAGGCTACAAGATTTCACCCAAACAAATTGTTCTGCACCTGCAGATTCATAGGCTTGAGACCGTTGCTTGGCTTCCTTCCATGATATCACTTCCCCACAATACTCGATAACGAACTGTCCAGCCTAAATCACTCACAGGTACAATAACCCATTAGATGAAAAGATATAACTTGCTAAATAAGCACAAGAAATGCAGCAGCCCCAACAGTGTGTGACAAGCAAAAATCACACAGGTATTAGAAAGCTAGTTATAAATTGCTAAAAGTTCATGAGTGTTTTTACATAAGCCTGTCTCATGGAAGTTGGATCTCCCATTACCTTAATATTCTCATCAGCCAGCAGACCCCATCCACGACCTTCAGTTTTAAATAATCTTGACTTGGCGTATTGACATGTTTGAAATCTCTGGCAACATAGTTATATTGTCCAAAAAGAAAACTGAGGATGCTAAAAGATAGAATAAATAAGAACAGGAAGCAAAATGACAATTTTACGGTAACCAAAGGATCACCTACAGTAAGATAATGAAATAAATTAACTCTTGACTTTTAAAATTAACATATCTCACAGAAACATGAACTCATGTGTTTTGATTTTCTTTTGAGTAGAAAAGCTGGCCAACCAAGGAACCAAACCTGGGGCTTCCCTTTTCTCAGCAGAATATATCTTATTAAATTTGCATATCTCATGAAATGAAAAATCTATAACACAATAATATTTAAAATTTACCAATTAGTTAATATAGATTCATGAGACATTTCAGGTTATTAAGAAAGTATATGAGCATAATGTAGGAATGAGAAGTGGGTGAAACTGCAGTCACACAATTGCAGACTGGTAACAAACAATAACAGGAGGAACTCCTTCATTGAGCATAGTTTATAAACTCGCTATAGACTTAGCATAGCAGAAAATGAGAGTAGAGGTTTGTAAGAGTAAACATTAAAAAATTTCATATTAACTGTTGACATTTTTTAATATTCATTTGTTGATCTAAATCTTGTAGGTGAGGTTAGTTTATGAACTCACTATAGTATCAGTATGCATTCACTAAACCAAATTCACTTCCTCCTGTATTTCTAATAGTCAATCACATATAAAAGCCTTTTTCTTGCCTTGGATGGAGATATTTTTATATAAAGCTTTAACATCAGGAATAGATTAGAAATGGAATCATAGTAGATTATTGCATCATCTTTGTTAAGTTCTTCCATTTGTTATATGATTCATCCCACATGCAAAGTGCAGGACTATGTCAAGTCGGTGATATTATGAAAGACACCATAACTTATCAAAAAAAATTATATTTCAAGCAAACAGATTGACTATAAATTATAAAAAGCATTAAATAGACTAGTGGTTGAAAAGAGATGATGTTCAACTGGAAAGTTGATAAGAAAAATGTTGAGAAGTTTTTAGATAAAAACTAGCAAGCTCACTCCATTGTGTATTTACAATATGCATAAGTCAGTATTTCATCATTCAGGAAAATAGAATGTGTAGAGTAAGATATCCAGACAACAAACAGTCTGAAGCATGCGTGAATGTCTTTATTATAATATAATGTTGCAGAACTTTGTTGCATGTCTTTGTTATAATGTGATGATGAAAAGGTTTAATCTACAGAACAAAATGTTGTAGTTCACATAATGTGTCCTACTTTGTTATCATGCTCCACATGCTCCTCATAAATTTAAGTTATTTAATAATCGGATTGTGTCAGACATTCTTTGACAGGTAAATTAAAAGGTATCACTGACCTGATTTTTACAGTGGCTGCCACTAGGACAATAACCAGGTGTACACTCTGTGCTAGTCAATACATTCAAGCATCGATCTCCGCATGCGGATTCTGGATTACCGGCATCATATTGGCATTCACAAATAGCTATGTCTTCCTCCTTTTGCTTCTTATGTCTGAACAAAATGTCAAATAATAAAAATGATGCTGCATGCTGTTATTCATGTTTATTGATCCAGTTACTCAAAAATTGCAGTAGGCATTTTAATTATTGATTGATATACTCAAGATGGTAGTGATTGGATGAGCTAGGTCTGAATCACTGATCAACCTGCACTAAGTCGATACACAACCAATCACGTCAACCCATCATTAATCAAGTTTTATATAATGTTTGGCTGATTTGTCCTTAAATAACCGGAGGGGTGACCAGTTAATTATAGCTGCACCCATTATTGAGAAGAGAAGAGGTACATTCCCTTAATTCCTCTGAGAAAGGATTGATACTTCTACTGGTAGCAAAATTTCATATCTTACTTTATCATGTGCTATCAACATACCAGGCACTTGACCATATACCAACAGGAGCAAAAGAAGACATAATGATGATTATCATAATAATTTTCATAATAAAGTACAACATCATTTTCATAATTGAAGCTAAAGTTTCGTTATCACTGTGAATTTATAGCAACATTTCCTAGGAAGTGTTCAAATTATTCACAAGTGTTTCACTATCTGAATGTCCTTTAAGTATTTTTAAATTCAAAAAATCAATTTAGTCAGTTGAACTATTTGGTCAGAGAAAGTTCTAAACTATACATGATTTACTATAAGTAAAAAGAAGTTATCAAATGTCCTATTTTGTCATTGTTACCATCATTCTTTGTTCTCCAATGTAACATATTGTTAAAATTGCAAAATGCTCGATCATGGAAAACAAGATAATAAGTTGGTGGTGGTTGACTAGAACTTTGTAACATGTTAATCAAACCTGTCAGGCCATTCTTAACCAGAAATGTCAATCAATAATAGCATTTCATATGAAGTTTTTTAAATTATTCCTAAATTTTTCACTATCTCAATTGTGCTCCAGAAAAATCCTCAAATAAACAATCTAGTCATAACTGTTAGTAACAAAATATTTTATATTGAATATAGGTGAATTATTAAAAAGATGTCATCAGATCTGTTACGTTATTGCCATTGCCTTCTCATTGCTTGTTCTCAGTGATTAGCATATCACTGACAGTGATATATATATTTTTTTAAAAGAAGTAACATGGTGATTAGCATATCAGTAATTTCATCCCTTTTTTTACCTCTTTACAAGCTTTATTAGTTATCACTTACACGATGAATGGCTTTTTCCTTTTTTAATAATATTGCATGCTTCCAGCTTTAAAACTCCATAACTTGAGATAAAGGTTATCGGTTTACAAAGTTTCCATGTAATCAGATTTCCAATTTCAAGTTACCTACATCCACCTAGTCAACAATGGGACCAACTTAAATCATGGAGCAATTATAATATCTAAATTTTCATATACTATGAATTTTGTTAATAAAATGAAAGAATTCATACAGAAGAAGAATAACTCACTTTCGATACAAAAATTCATTCCTCTCAATAAGTTTATAAGCAGGTGGGAATTCACCTTGTTGATCCTACAAAGTTGGATTTCCATTAATCCCATCATCACCTCAAAAAGTAATTAAATGAGAAACAGAAGTCACAATTTTGATAGTTACAATTGTACTACTAAGGCTACAGGCTACTATAATAAATTACTGATGACTTAGTTTAAATCACATTGAAAATCTCAAATCAAAATGCAGAAAGTACAAAAGAAATGACAATCAGACGAAAGATCTTACACAACAACGAGTGACACTTCAAAAGACATAAATATCCTTGATCATACCACGTCAAACTTCTCATAAAAAACTACAGGTTAATTCTCAGCCATTGCAATAAACCCACTTATCTAGGGAATCATAATCAACTAAGTTTGAAACATGTAGAACTCATCAAGCAAACTAAAAATGAGGAAATACCAAAACCAGAGAAAATAAGAAAGTGGTCTGTGGAAGTAAAACGTACCAAGTCATCATTATATGTTCCTAAATCATGTCATCCAGGGTTCACTAAGAGGTATCCTCCAGGTGCATGGGCTTTTATCACAAACTGTTTTGATGGCTTTCTTTTAAGGCACAGTAGAGACAGTTCATATGGATGTAGAATCAGCCAAGTAAAATGTACTAGTCCAGATGGACTAGCACCGAACTCAGTTGTGTTATCATGACTCATATTCTGTTCGATAGAAAGGATTCCTTTGAACACTATGAACACTGTAGAGAAAATTATAGGCGATGTGTAAACTAGATTTTGAGCATATAATCAAAATGTCTGATAGCCTTGAGTTTTCATAGGATTTGGGTCTCAGATTTTGAGCATATAATCAAAATGTGTAAACTAGATTCTCTTTTTTTGCCTGACCAAAGGAAAATATATCATTTAAATATGATTTCAAAATCAGTTCCATCAATAAAATTGAAAAGAACTTACGAAGTCTGTTGATTCAAATCTGTTCCATGCTTCTGGCAATTTAAATGTGCATCTTATACATTGCAGAAATATTTTAAAATATAGAAAAAAATTATTGCACGGAATACTAAAACCACATAAAAAGTTAACATAAATGGTTGGCTGTGGTTCGATAAAAATTTTGTTTATCTCCTAAATAAAGTAATTTTAGAAGATTGCCCAAATTAGAAAATAAAAAATTTATTTATAATCTTGTGAATATACTAAAATAGATACCATCGATGTGCTAGCACTGCACAAAGTACACACTCTTAAATCAGCATAAGAAATTATAAATGGGAAGTTTCTAGTCAAGGTGTGGAAAATTTGGAGATATAAAACTTTCAGGTTGTCAAGGGTAGTCAATTCATGCAAAGCACCTTCCAACAATCCTACAAGAAACTTTGGGACAGCTTTCTCAATATCATTAGAACCTGGAAACCTTCTCATACAATTCCGACCAGTAGTCCTGTATCTCGAAGAATTAGGCAGAGAAAGTTGATGAGTAGATCCAAGTACTTCCAAAATATACAAGGATCCAACCAACACGACGTCCTTTGTTGGCATGGACTTGAGAGCACGTGATGCAGATATATAAAAACTAAATGTTCGAATTTAATTATATTTAAATTATAGTAGTCTTTAATTCCCAACAAACATATCTTATAATGAGTTTATTTTCAGTTAAAAAACTAACTGTCAGAAAATAAATAAATAATTTTATTTTCAGGAGAAAAATAAAATACTAAAGGGGCTAGCTTTTTTTAAAAGCTTAAGTAGGTAGGAGCTGGTTAGTTCTTTTTAAATGAGAAGACTGTCAGTTAAATTTATGTAAGATAACTACACAATGAAAGAAAGTTTTTTTCATTTGGTTGGCTCCTCTTTATTTGACTCTCTTCAGCCATATATCTTGAGGTTCTGCCAGTATTCTTGATACTAACCACACTTTTGGCTCCTAATATGACATAAAGTTGTTATCAAATCCATGTTCTCCTATCATTAGTTTCAATCTTCTTTATCATGCTGGAACTATGGCAGCCTCCGAGGCCAGTTGTATGAATTGGTATGATAGCTCTTTTCAAGAAGATGGAGAAAAGGAACTATTTCCACACATTGATGAGAAGACATAAGATGAACTCCACAATTATTAAAGAGACAACTTCAAAATCTGAAGAAGAATTAATTATAGAAAAAAATACCAAAAACAGAAGATCTAAATGAGCTCCAGTAGAAGTTGTTAAAAGTTTAGATTAATGAGTTGGAAATTATAATGAAGTGTAATCATATGACATCATAAAAGTCAGGAAATGCACCTCAATACCAACCAAGAAGCTGGGTTTGAGTTAACTTTGCTTCAGTTGATTCTAAAATAGAATTTCTATTTCCATTTCCATAATCTTATACTCTAATTAACCACAATGTTAATCATATTATAATTGCTTTGAATGAATCACTTAGAAAACTAGCTTTTCATACAATCAAAATTTCATAGTGGCGTGTTCCAATTCAAATTCTAGAAATATAATGTATCCAACATTTTGATGCATGTTTACAGAAACAAAAGAATTAAAAAAAAGGGTCAAGCATAGAGTCACAGTAAACCGGTAGTACAACAATATGAACCGGTCATCTAAGAAAAGATGCAAACCTAAAAGGAAGCATTCCCATCACCAATCTTCATCTAGTTATGTAGTTGAGATCTCAAGAGACATCAGCATGATAAGTATTCACATTAATACTATTCGCTCATAAAAAAAAGATCATTATAATTACAAAATATGAAATTCAAGACGCTGGACACTGAAACTGAGAGTATACAGAATCATCATTATTAAGCAACAACAAATATAGAAATATTTGTTCTTGCTTATTCAAGTAGAAATCCCAAATATGAGTGCAGGATATGGAATCCTACCATTTAGGATAGATACGCACTCTAATGGTATATAGCTAGTCCGATTCAACAGAATACCATAACAAAGTAGCAATCGCAGAGAAATTTCGCCAGGTGCAACAAAGAATCAAAACTATTAGGATGAACTCGAAATAAGAGCTTATAACCAGACTCTCAGCAAATCAGTATAGCAACACACATCTGCAGAAGAAGTAATCGGTTGACACAACCAAAAAGCCGAAAGAAGTTTAAGAACGGACATGCTACATGAAAAATTCCACAAGGTTTCGTCCGTGCTGCAATGCTTGCTCAAGAGACATAACAGAAGCAAACAAGGAGAAAAGATCGAGTGGCGCACCATAAGGTTTCGGAGCCCCTCCCCCCTCAACTGGGAATCTCCTCTAAAGATCCGCCGGCTAGAGTATCGCCGGGTGCAGAAGGCAAGGGCAAACGCGCAAGAACGTGCCCTAAAGTGAAGAACGCCGGTCAAGAACAGAGAGCGCAATTGGGGCGAGAGGCAGAGAGAGAAGACCGGCGGCAGAAAATGGGCGGTGGGACGCAGACGATACGTGGAGGAGTAAGCAGCGCACGATCAGACGGCACACAAAATCCACGGGAAACAGTAGGGGCAATAACTCAAGCAAACAATAAGAAAAGATCGAGCGAAGTACCATAAGGTTTCGAAGGGCCGTCAATTCCGAATCCCTTTAGGAGAGGTCCGCCGGCTAGAGCATCGCCGGGTGCAGAAGGCAAGAGCAAACACCCAGGAAGGTACCCTAAAGCGAAGAACGCTAGTAAAGAACAGAGAGAGAATCTGGGAAAGGAGGGAGGGAAAGACTGACCGTAGGCCGGCGATCTGGCGGAGGATGGACTGTGGGAATCGGTCGCCGGGCCGGGCCGTAGGGAAAAGGGGTTTTAAATTTGGGTGTTGGGTTTCGTTTCCTCTTCCAAATCCAATGTACATTTAATTTAAAATAAAATAAAATAAAATATAAAACCTAACTAACTAATTAATTTTGGAGATTACTAACAACCCCCTTTTTACTATTTGCATAATCTTATTATAATTTTTTTAATTTTATTTTTTTATAAAATAAATAAACATATCATTTTCCTTTTTAGAGAATGATGTCGAGAAAGTGACGATGAGTGATAACGACTATACATCAAATAATAGAGAATTTTAAAAAAAAATAAGAAAAAAATAAAAAATTAGAGATCCTTGATAGTAAACGCTTAGTATCGGAATCGAAGTCACCCCTCCACCCATCAACCTTGTCGGAGGCCATCGCCGAGAAGGAGATCATGCATAGCAACATTGTCGTCGACGCTCGAAACGCAACTACTATCTTCCTCATCTCATGCTCCCTAATGTTGTCGTCCCGAGTCCCCTCCTCCTTGCTCGCACGCCGCGAGCCTCGTCCACCTTTGCTACCGCCGAGGCAAAGGTGGTTCGTCTCTTAGAGACGCCAAGGAAAGAGAAATTGTCGAACATAAGATGACTCAAAACAGTGCAGCCACCATGCAACGATTGTGCAGTGAAGGGGACATCTTTTTAGAGATATATTCAACCCATAGTTTCACATCGTTAAGAATTAAAATAGCTCATGATCTAATAAGCATAAACCTTTGAATTGAATCGAGTCTAAAGACAAAAAAAAAAAAAAAGGTTGGAGTCAACATGGACTTGGTAAACAAGATCAAGCTAAGATATGACATGTAACATAATAATTTTAAAATTTTGAATTGAATTTATAATAAATTTAATATATGTTAACTTTGACTAATCTAAACTATATGATTTATGATTTATTCAACTAATTATTCGCTTGTTTTTTAGGTCGCAGTGTATTGTGATATGCCGTCATCCACACTTATCAAAACCTATCACCTTATCATCTTCATCTTATGATCATAAATATTATTGAATTGTGTATGTATATGATATCTGAATCAAATAATACCTATATATTTGATGCTTAATCAATATTGACAATATATCATAAGAAACTAGGCTTGCATCCTCTCTTCACCTCTTATCATACATACATACACATATATAAGTGAGAGAATTGTCAACATGCCTAGTCATTTGACACTCTACTTTTTTTAGTTAGCTCATATGACAACGCCAATTAAATTGGACGACATATTACGAGGAGTCATAAGGGCTATGATGGATTACAGGACATGGCTCCTCCGATTATTATATCATAATAGCTAGTTGATAAGATGGAATCGTGTTCCTACCCTACACCACTCCACTGCCCCCACCTGCTACAGGAAAGAGAAAACCTTCTTTAAGCCTTTTATGCATCTCGACAAGATAAAAAGTCTGTCTTCCTCGAGAAGGGAGCAAAGAGAAAGGAAATGGAGATCCTTTGGAAACGCAAGTGTGTGTATTCATGACTTTTTTTTTATGTACATTAGCTTAAACCGAGTAAGATTGATTAAGACATTATTACTAATTTTACATGTCAAAGTTCTACCGACATGGATAGACTTGCAGTGCATTTAAGGATCGGTGGGGAGAAGGTCGGAGGATTCTGGTCACAGAAAGATGTGTGCGAAGAGTCAACAACATCGACGTGATACCTAACATTACGGAATGGGAAAGCCAGGCGAGGGAGAGGGCATCCGCGCGAGAGAAAGCCATGGAAACGTCGAGAGGAGATACGAGAACACAAACTGGCCTGAAAAGACCGACGGCTGAAACCCCTCCACATGGGGATATGAACACAAGTCTCTCCTCTCCGGTCCTCGTGCTCGATTTAGGTCAAACAAACAAAAGAGTAAAAGAAACAACTAGACTTGCTTGTTTCGTCGGAGAGGCTGTCTTTTCTCCAATCTTGTGACATCAACTGCTTCTCCTCCCTCATCTATAAACAATGAAAAAGTTGATGTGGGAAACCAGTACAACCTTCACGTGCCCTACAATAGCAAAGCCATGACCATGACCTTTACTTAGCTTTCATCGAAGTTGCAGTCATGCATCAGAATCTTACCTTTGCGGTTCGACTGATTGCCCGATGGGCTGCTGGTTGTCTGTCGGCTTTTCTTTGGCCCCGACTTTACTCTCTGCATCTGCCACGGCAGATCTTCTTCTTCGGACTGGGTCAAAGATGGCAGCTTTAGAAAATGGCCATGGTGCCTTTTGTTTTTTACAGTGGGGTTTTGCCCCTCACCTTCCCCCGATGCAGGTGGTCGAGATACGCTCCGGAATACGACTTGAAGAAACAAAATACTTCACGTCAGAGTAACAATAATACTTGGATGAAATGAATTGCCAATCACGAAAACAACACAGATATAAGATATTATGTGTGCGGATTTGTTTGGATGATGACCATATGCAGCTTTAGGCTTGCTGACTATTCAACAAAGCAATTTAATGGTCTTTTGTTACCTTGGATGTGGCGACGAAGCTTCCTGGTGGAAATGACTCCACGAGTGGACCACGAGCAGGGAACGATGCACCTTATCTGAAACATGGAGAAGAAAATAATGGTCCATTCATGATCTGTATAGCCATTAATGCCTATAAATGAGGGTGCGTCGGAGTAGGAAGAGGCTTGTGCCGAGAACGAGCTCTTCTCCTTGCTCACCACCCATGGCTGCTACTGCTCCGACGTCTCGGCTGCTGCTCCTGGTCTCTTGCATTGTCTTCCTCTCCTCCACTTCGGAAGCCTTTGATTACCCTCCTCTGGTGAAGGGCCTCTCCTTCGACTTCTACAAGACCACCTGCCCCAGCTTGGAGTCCGTAGTCAGGAACTACCTAAAGCAAGAATTCAAGAAGAACATCGGCCTCGCTGCTGCCCTCCTCCGAGTTCATTTCCATGACTGCTTCGTTCAGGTATCTCTGCGGCACCCAGTGGCTACCGTGAGTGGCCACACAGTGTTCGCTAGCTGGATTTGTGATGGTGGATGTGCTGCTCATGTGCAGGGCTGCGACGGATCGATATTGTTGGACGGGTCGGCAGGTGGGCCGGGCGAGAAGGACGCGCCGCCCAACTTGACGCTCCGGCCGGCAGCCTTCAAAGCTATCAACGACCTCCAGGTTCTCGTTACCCAAGCTTGTGGGCAGACCGTCTCCTGCGCTGACATCGCCGCTCTCGCCGCCCGCGACTCTGTTCACCTGGTACTGCCTCTCCTCCTGAAACCAAACCACCGATGGCCATTAGAAATCTAGACATCTGGATTTCAACCCACATATATGCATCAAAATCTGTGTCTAAGCGTCCGTGTCCTTCTGTCGTCTTCTTCTTCAGTCGGGTGGCCCTGGCTACAAGGTTCCATTCGGCCGGCGGGATGGCTTGACTTTTGCAACACGGGATGAGGTGCTCAATTCCCTTCCCCCCCCCACATCCAACGTGACCCAGCTCCTCGCCGCCCTCGGCAAGCTCAACCTCGACGCCAACGACCTCGTCACCCTCTCCGGCGGCCACACCATCGGCATTGGCCACTGCACCTCCTTCGAGAACCGACTCTTCCCATCCCAGGACCCCACCTTGAACAAGACCTTCGCCAAGGACCTCTACCTGACCTGCCCGGTCAAGAACACCACTAACACCACCGTGCTCGACATCCGGTCACCCGACACCTTCGACAACAAGTACTACGTGGATCTCATGAACAGACAGGGGCTGTTCACCTCCGACCAGGATCTGCACACCAACACGACGACGAAGTCCATCGTCATCAACTTTGCTGTTAACCAGACCTTGTTCTTCGAGAAGTTCGTCTACTCCATGACCAAGATGGGTCAGCTCAGCGTGTTGACGGGCAACAAAGGCGAGATCCGGACTAATTGCTCTGCGATCAACAAAAGTAGCAAGTCCTTGTGGTCTGTGGTTGATGACGAGGGTAAGAGCGATGCCTTCTAATTGCACACTAACTGCTCTTCGGTAATAAAATGGTGGGTTTGGCCATCGATGCTCAATATACGTACACCTTTGGTTCCTCTCTGGTTGTCGCTTCCAGTCCAATGGTTCAGGTCTTGTATGCTTTTGGTACAACTAGTGAAGCTTTATGATGCTGAACATGAATAGTGCACGTTGAAAGATACACTGCTGCTGCTGCTGAAATGATAATGGGATGTCCGTCTACGTTATATTTTTTGCTGGAAATTCTTTTCTTTTCCTGCATGATAAAAACTTTCAGGGTGATCAAATGAGGTTAGCTAGTTGCAGACAAAATTGTTGAAAGCAAAACTGCATGTCCCTCAAATTGGAAGAGGCAAACTTGATGCTCAAAGATCTGTTCAAACATAAACTGTCCTGCAGAAGAATGGAAATTTTTCTGTCACAGGCAAAAGTAGAAATTAAAAGAGATAAAATGATTAAGGTCAGTGATATGAGAGAAAAGATTAAAACAAAATCTATTTTTTTAATAAAAATTATAAATAAATATTTAAGTATTTTAAACTTATATATATATATATATATATATATATATAAT